GAGAGAGTGAGTGAGAGAGAGTGAGTGAGTGAGTGAGTGGGAGCCACGGCCTGGTTTTGACAATAAAGGTGCAAGAAAGCGTCTAGAGATTGTTGACCGTAGTCATCCAGAGGGGATTGAGGCTTTTGCTTACGCAATTGGCAGGCAGTTAACGATTTGCTGGCACCCTCCCTTTAAAAATTTTATTTTTGCCTTTGATTTTACCAACTGTTTTCCTGACTGCCAGTTTACAGACTTGGATTATAAACCTTGGCTTGCTTAGCTGATGCAATAAAAGAAGCTTTTCCCTCCCAAAATGGCTAGCCAGTTACCGGTTTCGAGGCATTACCCCGTTAAAAATGCTCGTTTTATGGTTTTATTTTGCCAATCTCTTTTCTGACCGCCAATTTGCTTGCTTTGCTGCTAAAACTAACATTAGCTTCCGTTTTGGCTGATTCCCACACAATTGCCTAGTGCCCTTTTTCTGTCAATCGTACAACCCGATCCTATCCACGTTTTTTCTTGGGGGCCCAAACTTTTGGGGCGGGCTGATCCGGGTGACAAAGTGCCCAGTGGGGGCTGACCCCTCCCCTCCCTTGGCTGATCACCCGGCTGTCTCTCCCTATCTCTACTTCCGGTCGTACAATATGCCCTTAAAATATACCAACCTGTTAACTGGCTGTCAGATTATGATAGTTGGCTCCCAGATTGGATCTTTATGCCATTTTTAACTTTTTAAATCGATTTTAACCCCCTTAGCAGCCAGTTGAGCATTTGGCGAGGTGCCAATGGATTTTCTGCCTGGCAAATCCCTTTAATAGGCACCTATTGGATAAATGGTTTTCCGATTTTGATATATGACTGTCAGATTGGGGTTTTGTATATTTTTGAAGTGGTTAGATCGAGTTTATTGGACCGTGTCGAACAGTTTAAAATTTGGCGACTTGCCAATAGATTTCCTATCTTCCAAATCCCTTTAATTTCGTAAAATTTGCATGACTGCCCATATTATAGTCTTGCCGAGTGACTTCCTTCATTTTTTGTTTATTTATCGCCTCGCATTTCGGGTCATTCTCCTTCTGAAATTAATCCCCCTTTTGGCATCCACTTGCAAGGCTAGCGCGCCTCCAATTTACGCAATTTGCTAAACAAAAAATGGCTAGGAATCGGTGACGTAGCTTCGCGTCGATACTTCTGTTATTTTAATCGGGCATTGAATTAAGTTCTTGTAAAAATTTAATTTAAGGTGGACCAGGGTTGAAAAGCCGCTTCGCGACTTTTCAACCCTGGCCCCGTCCAACCCCATCAGATTCTTCACTCTGCATACGTCTTTCGATTTCCGATGCGACAAACCAAAAAGTCCACTCTCTCGGGTTACATATAGGCCCCCGCAACTTCCGGCATATGCTAATTATTTCCTAACAAAGAAGGCTGCGCGATTTTTCAACAAAAACTTAAATTTAATGTCGAAAACAGCTGAATTTGTAAAAACTGATATTGGTGCAGTCATCTCCAGATCATTACGCATCTAATGACGTATCAAACAAACTTTAAAAACCTTCCCTTTCCGAGATATCCTCCGGACAGAATGACGGAAGTTGCATGCAAAGTGGCACGGACACACACACAGACACTATTTTTTTATATATAGTAGGATTACGATATACACCTAAATATAAACGCTGCAGTTGACGTTATTTTACCAGTTTTTAGACAAATTTAAATTATCTAAAAATCTTCATTGCTGTTTCGACTACGATTGACACCAATTGACGCCACATTTTAGCATATGTCTATAGGGAAAAGTTGCACTGGATTCCACACGATTCGACAATCATTTTCTTGGGGTCCATCCAATTAGAGACGGCCCACTTTTTCGATACCTTTGGATAAAGGGACCTCATCGTCCCTGGTGACATGCCGTCCAGCGGTTTTTTCATTTTTTTTTGTCGAAGAAAGTGTGAGGGCAAAGGAACAACCAGTCGAATGTCGAATATGGATGCCAGTCTTCGACTTAGATGCACTTTTTATTGTATTTAGTAGTCGGTAGAAGTATTTTAGTGGGCATAGACGCTAAAAACCCAGAATCGAAGGTTCTTGCGCTTTTTTTTGTTTTTTTTGTACGGAAAAACCCTTTCAAATATCTAAACTGCTTAGCAAGCTTTATTTTCGAAAAGTTTCGATGAGATTTTGTAGTATTTAGCCGCATGTTAGTTTTTCGCTAAAAGCTAAATCATCACAATTGCCCGTTCTCTCGCGTTTTGGTATTTAGGAACGTGCTATTGTCGTAAAAACCATATGATTATTCAAACTACCTGCCATGCTTTATATTAATGAACTGTTTAATAGAGTTTGTAGTCTGTAGCCGTATTTTAGTCTGGCGGATTTGTGGCATAAGCGAAACTTACCTCATCATAAATAGCTAAAGAGATGTGTTATTCCCGGAAAAACCTGTGGAATATCTAAACTGGTTAGTAAACTTGCTTCTAAACAATTTTTTATTAAATTTTGCAGTCTGTAGCCATATGTTAGTCTTTTTCCGGGTCAATACTAAAATCATCAAAATTGATCGCTATTTCACCGTTTCCTTTTTCGTTCGTTTCCCTGCCCTTCAGAATGACCATCCGACATATCCTACAATCCGAAAAGCACTAAATATTTTATGTTTCGGTTCCTTTTCTTTTTGTGTTTTACAAGACATGGGGGGAGGCTCGTGTTTTGTGTGTTCACCCGGGGGGAGGTTAATTTAGGACGAAAATGTTATTTGGAAAGGGAAGAGAAGGGGGATGAATGGATAGATGGAGAGGGGAAAAGCCTTAGAGTATAAAGAGACAACATTGGGGTCTGTAATGGGTCTGCTGTTCATTTTCGGCCACTCAATTCATCTTCCAATTGATTCTTTTTGCGAGGAGAGGGGCCCAGCTGATCATTCCTGCGGGGAGAGGGCGACAGACAGTTGGGCCATAGCAATCCACCTCATTTCCTATCGATAACGATCACCACTTAATGGCGAAAAACTAAAATATTCTATTTTCCACCGATTTCCGGATTTTTCAACGAATTTCAGTAATTTGCACCCCAGCTAGCGCATCGGCATGGTTGAAAACGGAATCCACCGTATCTACGAAAAATGTATCTTATCTTATTTGAGCCAATCCTGAGAAGGTGCCGATCGCTCCGAACGAAAACTAAAATATCGTATTTTCCACCTTTCACTTCATTTTTTGCCGAGGTCGACTAATTTGGGTTCCAGCTAGTAAGATTATACGGTGGAAAACGAAATCCGCCGTATCTCGTTGGAATTAGGTCCGCCGTATTCGTACACAGTGCATTGCCGTACAGCCCATGAACCAGTTTAAAGATCGCCGTACAAATGCACCAAAAAACAATCTCCGCTTCACCTAATACCATTTGGCATCTAAATCGGGTGACATGACCATATTTGCGTCGAGTTTTTGCTCTTCCGCGATAATTTGATACATAACGGATACTGATGGTACATTGTCTCATGGTCTATTTGGCAGCCAATACCCTCATTACTTCATAGATAATCGTATTTCTATTTGATAGAGGGAAGATTGGTTCCATTCGTACAATTGTTCGTATTTCCTCTCCCCTCTCAAATGAACATCTGGCTCCTAATGACGGGTTTCTGGATTATGGGCCTTCCAGTACTTTTTACCAGGGTTGGTCCATTTGGTATCCGGATCCTATCCGGATAATATCCGGATACGGGTATGTATCCATACCCGCCGCATTAGCATATGTTCTTTGGATACGGATAATATCCACAATGGATACGGATAGTATCCATATCCGTAGAATGAATTTTGCCCGATACGGGTATGGATACGGATACAGATGCGGATACTACCCGGTATCCGTTGCGGATACTTTGGATACTTCCGGTTTTTTATGCAAATCACGGTATTCAGTTGTGTTTTGTATGGAAGTCGTTACGACAATATATTTTGTTAAAGTCTAAATCCAAGCACTATGCAGTTACGATGTTACATCCACCGATTGGACAGCACAATTGTGCACAAGAAGATTTCCTTTATTTTTGAAGTTTTCTTAGGTGGTTCTGTCGTCTGGGTTCTCGCCTTGGTGTCATGTACTTGGATCTTAAAGCCTCGGAACATTGGGGATTTGTTAGAATTGCGGATACACCCGTTTTTATCCCGTTTTCGATGCGGCTGAGGAGTGATGGTGAATCTAGGCTTTAATGTTGATCGTATCCATACAAAATCAAGCTGAATATCGTGATTTGCATAAAAACTGGAAGTATCCAAAGTATCCGCAACGGATACCGGGTAGTATCCGTATCTGTATCCGTATCCATACCCGTATCCGGCAAAAGCCATGCTGATTTTGGATACGGGTACGGATGCATATCCGGATACCAAAGTATCCGTATCTGCCCAAATTAGCATAGGTTCGCGGATACGGATATATATCCGCATGTCCGAAAATGGGTACCGATACTGGATACGGATATTCAAATGCCCAACCCTGCTTTTTACCCCTGTGATCCAACCGACTCTCTGCACCGACTAAAATACTAATTGTGCTGTTTTATGGATTTAGAGACTTTATTCGCATGCAGTTTGAAGACTTCCATGGTATTTTTGAAAAACTAAAGTCCTTAAATTTATATAATTTGACTTTTCTTGCGCGTTTTCCATTAATCTCGTCTGACATTTTGATCGATACTTTGGTTTTTTCGAGTTACTCTTATAAACATGTATTAATAGGGATATAGGGTCCATAACCTTATTACGAAGCGGCTAAAATACTTCCTGGTTCGAGATTTGTGCTTTTCATGGACTTTTTGTCTTGCTCTCATGTCAGCTAGGCTAATTCTCTGGTAGTGTGAAAAAACTAAAATACCTGAAGTTATTTAATCAAAGTTTTCTTTTGTTTTACCCGCTTTCCTCATCCACCAGTTTGATCAATATTTTGGTTCTTTTCTACTGGTCTCGTATGTTCAGGCATTAATAGACGATTTTCACATTTTAGTGATGAACAACACGACGATACCGCCAGAAATTGAAGCCGAGCCCTCCTATTATACATTATCTATATGGGAATTGGTACATTTTTGGAGTTTTTATTGAAATAAAACTTTTTCAGATTCTTTTCTGTCTTCTCTATTCGGCGATCGCCATTTTGGCCGTTTTCGGCAATCTACTCGTCATATTTGTTACTATCAAAAAGTATGGATTTTTGATAATTCTCATTTTTATTTATGAAGTTTTATCTATTTTTCAATTTTAAGACTTCGTACCCGTTCTGTCACTACCTATTTCATCATCAATCTCGCTTTTGCCGATCTGCTGACGGGGATCTTTGCCATCCCATTCAAGTTTCAGGCGGCGCTTTTTCAGGTTACGCAAACTTTCACTCTTTTTATTTTTATTTAGGAATGGTTTCTGCCTAGTGCGCTGTGTAAAATTGTACCCTACACAGAGTCTGTTACGCTGTCTGGTGAGTAAGACATGTATTTTGAACATTTTGGTGCGAGAAGCTAAAGTATGAAAATTTTAGCTTTGAGACGAAAACTGAGATATTTTATTTAGTTTTTCGATTTGCCTGATGCCACAAAGTCAGATTTTTGCCTTAACTGCTATCCAATCAGGCGGGAAATCCATTAAAAATGTGAACTTTTAAAAAAATGGGTGATTTTGCTTTTATCGTCAAAAGATCGAGTTTTTGGAAAATCCGGCTTTTTGGTTTTTCTAGAGTGAAAAAACTAAATTTTTGTCTTAACTGTTTGCTCACTAAGCTTCAATTTCAAAAAAAAATTAAATTCATGGAGAAGTAAGGGATTTTAGTATCGATGCCAAAAATACCATATTCTGTTGGAAATCCGATATCTTCGTTTTTCTCATCATTTCATACCAAAAACCAAATTTTTCTCTTAACTGCCATCCAATGATCCCAATAATCTGTTCAAAAATTAAATTCCTAGAAGTCGGTGTGGTTTTAGTGTCCGTGTTCACACTGACAGCATCTGCAATCCATGAATTCGGTACTGTATTTTCACCGAAAAGAGGCCGCCTATCCGGGACATCAGCCAGGTAGGGTTTTTTATACTTTTAGTTGACCCCTATACTCTTAAAATGAATCGATAATGTCAATAAAGTACCCCCCACTATTTCCCGATTTTTCGATATAACATCTCCCCCTATCTCATTCATTTCCAGCCAATCATCCGCTGTATCGCAGCGTAGAAGCAGGTTATTATTATTCTTTCTTTGGTCTCTTCATCTGACCACTTCTCTCATTCTATATGTCTACCATATTACCCGTAATTACCATCCATTTTCTTTTCTCTTACCGTATGCTGTCTCCCGTTCTTTGACGTACCCATTTCCTCGGACTTCTCAACTACCGGTAGCCCGAAAACTAAAATATGTTCTAAAGGGTTTATCAGTCCTAAGTTTGGTGGATTATGGTAGTCCGTATGGCAATTAGGTTAATTAATTGGTGTATTTCGGGATTTTTACTTGATAAACGTTTCAGAATCAACTTTTAACCCCAAAACCGATTTTTCTAGTCAGTCAACCAAGCAGGCCGAAATCGCGACTAAAATACTTTCTTAAAGGTTTTGAAGGCTAAATTTAATGGATTCTAGTATTATGTATACCAAATAGGAAAAATAATTGGTATATTTTAGAATTTTGACTTCAGGCACCTTTGAAAATCAACTTTTAAATCCTAGAACCGAATTTACTAGCTAATGTATAGCCCTCTCATTCCGGACTAAAATACATTCTAAAGGGTTATTCAAGGCAATTTTCAATGGATTTTAACAAATTCTATGCCAATTAAATTAAATAACAGGTTTTTGCTTCCACAAACACTTTAAAAACGTTTTTCAAACGCGAGGGTGATTTTTCACCTAATTCCCTAACCTCCTTTCTCCTTCTATCCCTCCCCGAACCCATAACAGCCAGCACCCATAATTCCCATTTTCCCTTTTTCCAATTTCCCTAAATAACCCCCTACAAACGGCGACATCAAGCAGTTCAGCCAAATGTTGATGCGAAAAGCGATGGGAATGGTTGGGGTTGAAGTGGAGACACCACAAGACAATCTACCTAATGAGAAGAAGAAACCGCTCAATGAACACAGAATACGGTAGTCAACACCACTGCTATTCTGCTTTTAGTGGTACTGCTCTCTTAGCGGGGGCATTCTAAAAATTTTAAAAATTTAAAAACTTTGACTTTTTGGATAATTTTCAGAAATTTTCCACCTCGACTTGAATTTCGCCCGATTAAAAATCCACCCCCACCCCCGCTAACAGACCAGTACTTATTTATCTATCTCTACTGCTATAAATCTATCGTACGCAAATCATTCCTCGGCAGTAGTACCGTACTGTACTGTGGATCGGCATTGGGGGCGAGAAATGGACCGGGGGTTGATTTGGAGTGAGCTAGAACTATTTTGCCTCCCGACCAAAAACTAATATCATGCATTTTGTGATTTTTACCGAAACAAATTATTTCGATAGATTCTCTATAAGACAATTAGTGGAAAAAATTGATTTGATCCCGAAAAATGATTAGAAAAGTATAAAAAAACGATTTGGTTGGATAGGAGCAGCTATAGAGAAAAGCTAAAATCACGCAATTTATCATTTGAGACTAAACCAGTAATTTTGATCTGTTTTCCGTATTCCAGTTAGTGTAAATAATTAATCTATGAAAAATTCTAAAAAAAAGATAGGAAAAAAACGACTAATTTTGGAAGGTGAAGAGGACAAGGAGAAAAAGCTAAAGTATTTCATTAAACTTACACATTACACTGAACTTTTGAAAACTTTACCTATGAATTTTTCATCAAGAAGTTTAAATCTTGCATCGGTTTATCTAGCAAAAACTAAACCATCTAAATTTTCAATTCGATTTGAAAAGTGACGTGGAAACATTGTTTTTAAATCGGGGTTATGCCACCCATACCAACCCTGGATCCACGAAGCGAGAGTGAGAGGGAGGCAGAGAGAGAGCGAGAGAGAGACAGAGAGAAACGGACAGATAGAATTACGGGACGAGGCGATAGACAGTACAGTACAAAAAAATAGCTCCCACCGACCCCCCGCTTCATCCTCCAATTTGCATGGCCCAACTCGCATAACCCTACTAACCCTGTGCCTTCCCCATTGTCCGTTTGTCAAAATGTCCATATGTCACTCGACCCAATCACTCGACTCGACCAGCGAGCGTCCCAATCCCTTTAAAACAGTCCCTCGATGTCTCAATTGTCGAGCACAATGCCCTAATCCCTTCGCTTCACACAGCTTCCAGAGTGTCAACATGTGCCAAATGTTATTTGTACATACCGCAACCCCATCCCAATACGATAACCCACCTTTTAGATTGCTGATCCTGGCCATCTGGATTGCAGCCGTGGTCCTTTCACTCCCTACCGGTCTATTTCATGCTCTCGATGAGGATGAATTCGATCATACTGTCAGGGTACGGTAATGGCTAAAATACTGTAATTTCCCAAAGTTTTTGGTTTTCTTACAAGAAAATGGCTTTACGGTAGTCAGAATGTAATTTGAGGTGGTAAAATTCAAAATACATAGCCTGGAAAGTGATTTGTATGTCGGGTGCATGCGAGCATACTTTAAGGGTACTGTTGTGACTAAAATATCGTAATTTACGGAAATTTGTGGATTTCTTACCGGAAAAGTACTTGCTGGTAGTCAGAATGTAATTTGGGCAGGTAGAATTCAAAAAATCTGTAGTATGAAATCGTAAATCGCCTCGCCATGCACGGGCCAATGCAGACGGTACCCACTAAAATACGGTAATTCTCGACTTTTCTCCGGGTTTTTTTCGGAAGATGGCGTCTGGTAGTCAGAAGATAATTTGAATTGGTATAAATTAATATTGCATTGAATTACATGGCGTAATCGATTACGGTACTCGCTGAGCATACACGGTATTGACTAAAATCCCGTAATTTTAAATTTTTCTGGGATGTCTTTTTCAGAAAGTACTTCACGATAGACAGAGTAAATTGTCAGTTTGTTGAAACGTACATTACATAGCGTAATAATTTCCAGTGCCTGCCAACATACGGTGATACACAGTGGTGGAAGGCGTATAATGTGAAGATGATTGTCCTCACATATTTCGTCCCAATGTTCATCCTCGATACCGCATATATATTGATCGCCTTCAAGGTATGGCAGTTTAAAGAAAAATTCAAAATTTAAGCCATTAAAGCTTTGATGATCGCTATTTTTAAGATCTGGACAACAACAACGGCAATCACGGAAGAGTTGATGGCCGCCACTGATAAGAACGCAATTGAAGCTGGGAATCGAAAGGTAATCAAAACAATAGCGATCAATATTTAGTTCAACTGCTAGCCATTAAACTTAAATGAATTGTATTAAAAGCTATTATAGCCGTTTAAGCTAAAAAATCGATAATTTCCAGAAATCAATGAGTAGCTGCAAATCGTCAAGACAGGTAGAGAAAATATATCGATTGATTGAGTGGTAGAACGGGGTTCTGTCTGCTTCTCTAACTCTCTCTGTCTCTCTCACTGTCCGGCGTGTTCTCTCGCCTACCTTAACCCTAGCTACGTCGATATTTCCAGTAAACTTTCTGGGTCGTTTTTCGGGCTTCGCATGGTACCGTTTGGCTATAAAAATAATAATAAAATTCTTACAACATATAAAAAATGATAAACTGGCATCCATTGATACGAATAAATTACAAAAATTAAAATTATTCAGGTCGAAAACTTTTATAACCTTAAAAATCGGTAAACTGTCCTCCAATTCAGCATATTGGCCCTCGTCCCAGCTTTAACAAGGTTCGCCAAAATATTTTAGTTCTTCTCCAACTAGTCTCGTCATATCGTCAATACATTTTCCGTTAATATCACAAACTACAAACTCTGTTGATAACGCTGTTTTACACAAGCCACCAAATAATCGATTAGCACACCTAATTTCGCCGGCTACCGTAGTCGACTAATATAATTTTCCTCGCTAATTATTGCCATTATCTGTACGCTAGAGGCCTGATTGCGCTACAGCAAGCGTTTTTAGGTGCTTCTCTAGGTGTCTATTGTGTTGTATGAATTGTTTGAAAGGCTAGAGCTAAAAACTGTATGCCAGCCTGCTGTCTCCCTCAGTTTCCGCTGTCTTTGCCTCAATTTCATGCCGTAATCAATTCGATTTCAGTTGATGAAGATGTTGATCATCGTGGTTGCTCTCTTTTCTCTCTGCTGGTTCCCCCTCGAGTCATATCTTCTATTTAATGAGATATTTCCTGAGATTAACTTGTGAGTTAACTAAAAAAATTAAGGTTATTTGCTGTTTGTTTGTCTGCCTGTCAGACAATTCTTTTGTTTGTCTGTCTGAGTCCCAGCCATTTATTTTAACTATCTGGATGCCAAGCTATAAATTGGGCACAAAATAAACTAGAAAAAGTCAATAGTTAAAGATTTTAGTTCGTTCAAATGAAATACGCTTTAAAAAATGAGAATGGCCATCTGTTTGTCTGTCAGCCAGTAAGTTAATCTGTCGGCATATTTTGGCACCAACCATTCATTTAGGTCATCTGGATGTCAAAATATAATAAAAATACCATAGCATCTTGGAAAGATGGTATTTAAATATTTTAGTCGGTTCATCCAAGCGCTAAAAATGAACATTATCGTCGGCTTGTCTGTCAGCCAGTTGATACCATTAAATTAAGCTATCTGGTTGCCAAACTGTTCATTAAAGGTACACTAAAGCCTCGTTGGTTTGGTTACCGGCCGGTAACCGTCCGCGGAATAGCAAACAGGGTTACGGTAGGTGCTCGCCGCGGGCGCTTTAGACCACTAGGCCATGAGACAGACGGGAGAGGGGAGAGGGAAGGGGGATAAGAAGGATCCGGGCGTTGCGCGGCAGAGGGCCGGGATTTCCGACCGCGAACTGACTTTTTTGCACGAGATTTTAGTGTACCTTTAAATACCATGGAAAGTTCAAAAAGTCAAAATCCAAATATTTTAGGTGGTACTACATCAACGTATTTTTCTTCTGTTCTCACTGGTTGGCTATGTCGAATTCTTGTTTGAACCCGATTATTTATGGATTGTACAATGTAAGTGATAGAGAGGGAGGGAGAGAGAGAGAGAGAGAGAGAGCGAGAGAACTATCATTCCATTTCAGGACAAATACAACAAAGAATACAAGAAGGTATTCGCTGGTTTCTGGAGTTATTGTGTGAAGAAGAGAAAGCACGAGACACCAGGTAGACTTTTCTTAATGTCACGATCCAATTAACTGCTCTACAACTCAGCCTTTTCCAGATTCATCCGAGAATTTCGTTACCGAATACCCTCCATGTACGCTCATATACAAAGAGACGACCGGAACTGGCGCACACCCAAGCTATTCCGAGACTTTTCAGGTATTTTTAAGGCTAGAGTTCGATTTTCTGGGAGCTTTTGCATTTTGGGGTGATGAGGCAAAATTTCTGATGATTCCAGAAACGGCTATTAAAGTTATATATGTATTTTAATAGGGTTTTTAGTAAATTTAACTATAATTAAATGGTGCGCGCTAAAATTTAACAATATGCAAGAGATAATGCAAGAGAACCAATGAAGCTGTAATTTGGCATACTGCATCCCGTTCTATCCGATTCTCCTTCCAGATAGCCCCTCCCCCTCCAAATCCTGCTCCTCCTCGTGCTCGCACTCCAACTGGCAGGCCAACCGTCTTGTGACGCCGCGATGACAGCACCGAGACTTCTCTCTGAATTTTTTGAAATCATTGTTCTGGTGCAATTTGCTAATTGCCAAGCAGATTACACTAAAATATCGATTCTACCATTTTTCTACAATTTTGGTGCATTTATTCGTGTGTCCTTATCAACCGGTGCCATCCCCCAAACAAAGCTCTCAAACAAAGAAAAACTCTGATTGTTATGTGCTTACGGTAGATTTTATATTGTTTTAAAGGGATTAAAACTCTAAACTGTCAACCAGAAAAGCTAATTTAGCCGTGTCGGTCCCTTTAAAACAACGCCAATCTCGGGTCGATCCCTCTATCCCAATTCAGCTCAAATAATGGATGCTTTGTTTTTGGCTCTTTTCTCTGCTCCCTCTCATTTTTCGCCGTCTCTTGCCACTCTCTATCTTCTCCCTGAAACGTGCTCGATAGGAATTCGATAATTTGGATTCAAAAACCGATTATTTTGCTGTATAAACGAGTGTAAAGTGTGTTATGGCGTACAACAGTGAAAATAACGACTAAAAATTTTATTATTTTACGTTGGTGAAGTATTTTAGTTGTTAAAAACCAGTGCAGATTGTATACTGACGTACAACGAAGCTGGCGACTTTTTTATTTTACCAAAACTGGCAAATTCTGGGTGTTTTAGTTCATTCAAAACCAGTCGAAAAGGTATACTGGTATATACTGGCGTACAACGCTGGCTATCAGTTCCCAATTTCCATGATATCTCTGTTTTCCAGATATTTTAGTCGTCTAATAGCCAATGCAAATTGTATACTGGCGCTCCAGGCGCTACGAATTGCCCTGTTTACAGAATTTGGCGTTCTCCAGATATTTTAGTCCGCTAAAAACCAAGGTAAATTGTATACTGAAGTACAAACGTGCCGCTCAGTTTTCAATTTTCAGTATATATCGCGATTCCAAATATGTTAGTCAACTAAAAATACCTATGCAACTTGTATACTGGCACCCCGGCGTCGCTATGAATTTCTTTTTTACGGAATTAGGCGTTTTCCTGGTATTTTAGTTCACTAAAAACCAGTGTAACTTGTAATCTGATGTACAATGGTGATTACCAGCTGCCAATTTTCACGATATTTCCGTTTTTCAGGTATTTTAGTTTCGCTTGGAAATTAGATAATTTATTGATCAGTTGGGTTGGGGGTGTTTGTATTGTAGTGAGAATGAGAATGAAATACTGCATAAGCAAGCGATCCAAACTAATAAAAAACAGAGAGACAGACAGAAAAGCGGCTAGTCAAAATCAAAAATGTAAAAATGACATTTACAAGGGGGATACGGTCAAATTATCGATTGATATATCCAAGCTGGAAGGCAATCGATAGATTTGGCCAGACAGAAAGAGAGGAGAAAAGCTCGAATACAACGGGGCGATATTTGCACAAAAATACGAGATTTTTGGGGAGATAAATATAAGATAATAAAGAGATAAATATATTCTAAGGCGAGAGAGTGGAGAGAAAGAGAGACAGTCGGATAAAGCCAATTAATTAGATTGCAGCATTATATCGGAGCAAAAATAGGAGAAAGGGGCCTGGCTTAAGGGGCAATCGATTACGCAACGTAATTAAATCCATTACGCAGTGCAGATTATGCCTTTTGGTTGCCTAAAAAATGCCCGAGGCGAGCGAATGTAGCCGAGTTTTCTTAGTCAATGGGAGGCAGTGGGTTGATTGGAGAGATTTAGAGATAAAGAGAAAGAATCTTGATTGGCGGGCGAACTGCTTGAAATACAGTATGAACACCGGGATCGAAAAAGAGGAGGGAGGTTTTTGATTTCGGCTTCAGAATTTCTGTTTTTGTTTACCATCGAGCGATGAGGGCGACGAAGAGGGCAAGAAGACCAATCTGGGTGACTGTCGAGCCTTTGCACCTGAAAAATTCATTTTAAAGGACCATGGAAGGCATATTAACGGATTACGATATCAAAATCCAATTCAAGTTCAATGCGAATTTTTGAAAGATTGTTAAAGTGAATCTTTAGAGTGAAATGAGCAAAATAAGTACCAAATGGTTTTAAACGTTTAAGCCATTGGACTCGGTTTTTAAAGGGCCACGCAAGGCAGAATAATCGATTACGCTATCGAAATTGGAATTAGGCGGAATATTCATTCTTAGGAATTTTTTTAGTGGTTTGGCGAGCAAATTTGAGAAAACAAAGATTAAATTCTGTTTAATCCATATTTTTAAATTATTGAAGGTATAAAACGTACACTTTCTCTCCAGTAGTCTTATCAGTTGTGCAGACCTTCTTCCTCTCACAAATCTCTCCATACCATTCCAATGGACAGTCACAGCTGCTGCCTGTGAAATTCCCCCCATGCTCACAGGATGTGATCTGAAAATCCCAAATTAACTTTACTAATAAAAATAGTAATACTATTTCAATAATAATATTATTCTGACCATACTGTTATTCAATTTTTACTCTAAAAAACATCTAAAAACCTAAATTTAGTTAGTTTATATTTTTCGAAAAAAATAGTTTTAAATTTAATTTTTTCCTTTTTATAAACTTTTTAATTTATTTTTGGCGGTTCTAAAACGTTATTTAAATATTGACTATAGAAAATCACATAAAAAATGATGGCCCACCTGATCACAATTGTCTCCCTTGTAATTCACCCCACAGACGCAGGCCCCCTTGTCGTTACGGTAGCGACGCTCGTTTTCTGAAAGTAACCAATTCTTATCGAAGTTTCTTTTTATTTTGTAGTTTGTAGTCCAGTTTGCCTAATTGACTTACCTGGATCAGTCTTCCTCCAGCAAGCCAACCGTTCACAGTGACGTCCGTCCCATGGAACCTGCAAAGAAAGGATACGCTTAGCGTATAAAATACTTCCTATCGTATAAATTTAAAAATATTTATGACAAAATCGTTGAATTATTAGCCAGTCTAGCCAAAACTAAGGTTTAGATATTAATTATGAATTGTTTTTGCGCCCTAAAGTCAGATTTTTCAAAAAACACCAGTTTTCGCGGGTTTTGAGCGCTATTTCCTTTGCTTTAATTATTGCGTAAATACCGCTTTAATTTTTTAAATTTTTTATATAAACCAACCGGACAGATACATTCGACCATATTCTTCCCCACGGCAATCGTTCCATCATTGTAGCACGCATTCGGCGTGCATCTGAATTAAGCATTTTCCGTTAGTATTTTTAGCATTTTTTTCTCGATTTTCGACGCTTTTCAAAAGGGCTTTTGTGCCTAGAAATACCTCCCCGCTTCTATTGTCCAGATGACTATTCAAAAAAAGAACGATGCACCGTCGATAGGCTTCTATTGTAGTCGAAAGTACTATTTTCCCGAAAAACACCCTTTTATGACATTTTTTGCATCTATCGGCTCCCAATACAGCAGAATAAGACTAAACTAAAAAATTCTCTATTCTGGGCTACAAACTACAAAATAAACCAAGAAAAGTTTTGCAAATTTGCAGAATAGCCAATCTAAATTTTTACCGTATGCTAAAAACCGCTTTTAAGAGACTTTATGGGTAATTTATCGACTCCGAAAACAGCAAACCCAAAAACAAACCATCCAAGTCGCCATTCTGGGCTACAAACTACAGAATTAACAAAGAAAAATGAAGAAAATATGCAAAATAACCTATTTTAGTGGGTACTGTAGGCAAAAAGCCAAAAATCTAGCATGTCGATTTTTTTTTCCAGAATTTGATACGAGTTGATTTAAAAGTGTATTAAGCATATTTCTTGTCCCGCAGACTACAAAATTCACTATAAAATACACCACTAGCATATCCCATTTTCCTGTAGATAGCGAATAAACATACTTTCCGTTGAACCATGCCCTGGATGTCTTATTTGTTCCCTTATCACAAAGGGCCGATAGATGACAGAATGCTCCATACCAATTACTCTGACAGCTACAAACTCCATCTGTCACACGGGCTTTCACTGAAAATTATCCGTATTTAATCCATTAATTGTTAAACTGACATCTGAGATGTGAGCATTTGTATGCCTCATACTCGGCCTTTAGCGTCGCATTATTTTGAGCCTCCGTCCATTTCTCGCAACTAAAAAAATAATAAAAAGTGTTTAGCTTTAAAAGGTGCGTGACAGCTAGCTTGCTAGAGTAAAATTAGCCATTTTCGGTCGCTGTTGAATTAAAAAAATCGAAAATTAATTTTATTTCCACCGTAGCGTGCCAACTAAAATTTTGACGCTATAATCGGCCAATATGTGGCCAATTTCCAAATTTTCACTTGTTTTTGCACCTATTGTATGCCACATTGTAAGAACAAATACTTTCTATACGGTATAAACCCACTGTTCAACATATCCATCGACGATTCCGAAGCCATGCTGCGCACTTCGGTCACAGCCCTCGCCGATGTCACTGAAAATGTATTGATTTTTATTTAAAAATCTATTTAAATACGACAAATTACGCTAATTTTGGCAAAGTTTTAGCCAATTTACGGTTTACAAACTATTCGACGTCCAAAGTCGATTTTTTAGAGCCCGAGCCGATTTTTTACAGTCAAAAACTTCCGGCAGGCTGCCAAATCGGAAAAATCTACTTTTTTCCTGCCTTCCCAGTCCCTTTAAATGCCCTCCAAAAACACCTACGGTATCGAAATTAGCCGCTGACCAGCCTGGTCCTTTTCTTTTGGTCTCTCAGCTAGTACGGTAGCCGAGACAAGGAATAGGGAGATGAGCAGTCGCATCGCTAGAAAGATGGAGGTATGGTAAGGGCGCGTTAGGAGAGTGATGAAAGCATGGAAAACATCTTAAAAACATAGAAATACAAAATAGGATTTAATGGAGCATGAATGGCATGGATCCAAATTTCGCGTGAAAAGCGACACGAATTAAAGACGAAAAATTGCTTTGCCAGAAAATTGCGGGGGTCACATGGATGAAAGTGGATGTGGATGAGGGGAATTGAGGGAATGAGTTTAGAATGGAAAGAGGAGGAGGATCGACATTCGAAACAACAAAAAGGAAAGAAAGAAAGAGAGGGAATTGGCCGTCAATTCCCCTGAAATGGGCAGGGGCAGGGCCAAATGAACGCGGCGTTCCTATCGACGGAACGGAATGAAACGGAATAAAGGCAGATAGCTATTCAAAAAAATTCTCAAATAAGGGCAAGCTAGCAGAGAATCTTTGAGGAAAGTCAGTTTTTCGAAGGAATCGATAATTTGCTCGACAGTTAAGATATCCCAGACATTTTCAAGTCGACCAGCTTTTATATTAAAGGAAGGGTGACAGCAATGAATTGCCGATCTAAGCCTACAAGGCAAGCTAGCAGAAATAATTGCGGAACTCGTACTGGCTAACGACTTCTAGAAGAATGGAAGGGCTAACTCTACTGGGTGGGGAGGAAAACAAAAACAGGAAGAGAGAGAGAGAGAGAGAGAGAGAGAGAGAGAGAGAGAGAGAGAGAGTGAGTGAGAGGGAGCTGCTTTTTTGGGGCATCGATGGGGCAATGGGAAGTGGGGCTGGGGGAGGGCCCTTCAAGATCTCACTTCATGATGAGAAAGGAAAAAAAGAACGAGATCCATTTCTAGCCTTTTTCTCCACTGCGCCTCGGTTTTTTTAGATATAGTCGGCGTCAAGGAGCATAAGTGAAGAGGGTAACTAGCAGAGACCATTTAGGAAGAGCCGTTCTCCCTTTTGGCAAACAGTTTAGAGAAAGCAAACTAGCAGAAACCATTTAGGAACTGCAAATAACTTTTCTGGTCTCTAAAGTCGCCGTTCGAAGCTAGCAAAGATCATTTAGGGGCTGGAATTAGCTTGTATGACTGGCAGAGACCATTTAGGAATCGTCAACTTCTTTTCTGGCTGCCAGGTTAGCGAAAGCAAGCTAGCAAATACCATTTGGGAATCTAGCCATCAAATAATGTCGATAGAAACATGTTTAGTGGGAGGTATTTGGGGGTAGTGGATAGTTTGAGAACGGAAGGAATGAAGGGGAGAACCTTCTCATAACCTTTAGCAAATAGAAGCGAGAGAGAGAGAGAGAGAGAGCGAGAGAGAGAGACTGTGTGTGTGACAGTCGATACTCTCTCCCTCTGAAATTGGCCGATTCGGGCCGATTTAGAGAGTGTATGGGGGGAGTCGAGGGTCACACTTTGCATACTCACATACTCAAATATACAGGAGAGAGAGGGAAGAAAGGGAGAGAAATATAGAGACTGACAGAGAGATAGAGAAACAGACAGAAAAACGGAGTGAAAAACCAGCACGCCGTGTGTCGTATTTGGGGGGAGGCCGAAAAGTGGTACTTGGATAGACTGGACTACTGGCTGCTGCTGCTGGGGGGGTTGCATGGAAAACGGGTGGAAATATGGACAGGTTCGGCTGTTTTAAAGGGGCGGGGAAGGCAGGGACGAGGCTATGGATGCCAGATTAGGTTTCTCAAAAGATCGACATGTTTCGGCTTTGAAATGTCTCGAAAATCCCAGAAATTTGGCAAAATCAATTTGTACTTTTTACATTCTACAAGTTATTTGTCGAGGCATGACTTTAAATTTTTCCACTGTAAATTTCCGATAGAATCCGTCGTCGACGCGACGCGACACGCAACGCGAGGGCCCACTTTTTTCCATTGCGTCATCGATTACACCACCTGGAAACCGCTGACGCGCTTGCTCTGGCCGTGTCCGAGACGCGACTCGCAACGCGTCAGGCAACTTTTCGTCGCGTAATCGAATACAACCTAGCGAAAACCCGCTTCCGCGGCGTTTCCGCGTTGCGTGTCGCGACACGGCTAAAATCCGTACAAGCTTTATGGCCCCGAGTAGTGGATAAAATTTACAGAAAACGGCTTGAGGGTTCCTTTAAAAACGACAGTGCCAGCCATTCGTTGGACTATAACAACAACAACAATAAAAATAGACGATAGGAAGCGAAAGAGAGAGAGAGAGAGAGAGAGAGAGAGAAAGCTAGAGTGCGTGAGAGAGAGAGACAGACAGACAGAATATTCCATCCTCCAGGTGTGGCCAGATTGTCTCTCTAGCCTATTGAGTGTGAGGGTGGCAGGTGAGGTCCCTTCCCTCCCCCCGCAACCCCACATTTTGCATATTGTTTCTAGGGCTAGAGGGCTAGAGCCGTAGAATGGAAATGCTCCACACAAATTGGAGGGTACCGCCCAGGGGGAGGCTTGGTCGATAGCTACCCACCGCATATTCCTGTTTTGATTGTCAATAGGCGGAAATATCGGGGGGGGGGGCAGGTGTTCAGAGGAACTAAAGGTACTACGGCAATAAAGGGAGTGGAAACAATTCTTTACGACCAGTTTGGGCCTAGCTGGATGTCATAAAACAATTTGAGGGCGTGATTAATACGGTAATATAGCAGGGGCATATGATGGCGTAATCGAATAGGCTGAGCAACGGTAAAAACGCTGCTAAATCCAAATTTCGATAGTTTTTCGGTATTTGAAAGTTGACTTTTTATAAAATGGATGTCAGTTTGTACGAAACAATACTTTTTACACCTAGAAACCATTGGTTTTTTGGGTTATTCAACCCGAAAAAAATATTTTTGGCGAAATCTTCGAAAATTATTTATTGGGTTTTATTGTTTCCCAAAACCTACGAAACGTCCAGAAACCCTAAACTGCCATACCGTATACAGCGTCCCGTTGAAAAAGTGAATCCCCATGGTCTGGGGATTAGACAAAAGAGGGGCGAGAGTTGGGGGAGAGGGCGTTCCTGGCACCTATGTTCACTAATTCATCCAAATATAGACGGAGAGAAGGGAGAGAGACGGTTACTATGGAAACTGACGGAACGTATGGCTGACAGAAGGGGCAGAGAAGGGACTTCAGAGGAAATTACAGCTTATTAGGGGGCCAGGTGGGGGGGGCATTTGTCCACATCAAAGCCATATTGAGGCATGAAAAGCTACAAAAGGCAACCGATTACGCCAGAAAAAAAACGATAAATATCGCGTAAGCGATTAAACCTAAAATACTAGAGTTTTAGGCCAGAAAAAGTACTATTTCCCTGAGTTCTGGGAATAAAACTGGAACCGGAAAAATGTTTGCCAGACTAAGAGAATGGGGCTTCCCATAAAATTCGCACATTTTAGGGGAAGAGAGAGAGAGAGAGAGAGAGAGAGAGAGAGAGAGAGAGAGTCAAAAAAAGATACTTTCGGATCCATCTGGAAGAAAGGAAGGGTTAGGGAATGGAACATATGGTATCGAGGGACACAAAGAGGACCTCTTGGGTACGGAGATCCAGCACACCACCCCCCTACCTTCCAAAACAACGCAACAACAAATACACAAAGAAAATCCCCAGAACATTTACCGAAAACCCCCAAAATTAGGCAAAATAACGCTTAGTTTTTCAAAAAATAACGTCAATAACTAACAAATGACATTTTCAGCGGTACGTTTTGCCTTTAGAGCGCCTTTAAAAACATTGGTAAGAATCTAATGGAATAAAATCTGAAAAATTACGCTTTATTGCTCAAAATCCCGTTTAAAAAATGCTACTACCAGATGGCCAATTGGTAAAGCTTTCGCCTCCTACCCAGACTATCCGGGTTCGAGTCCCCGCCGGTGCGAAATTTTTTGCTTTTTCCGGGGCAGCTAGACAGGAGGGAATATGGCCGCTAAATCCAAAATCAACTGCCGGTGGGCATAGGAATGTAACGGAATTCGTTAAAAATTTGGAAAATCTTTAAAATAGCCACTGAATCCAAAAATATACTGCAAACAACGCTTCTGTTCATAGGAGTCGAACGGAACTTACGGGAAAATCTTAGCAAAAAAGTCCTTAAAATCCAAAACATGGCAAATAAATCTTGAAATTTACGTCAAAGGACGCTTGTGTGCAAAGGAATGGAACGGAATTAGTGGCGGATTTAGCTGGAAAGGGGAGGGACATATTGTTGTGACATCTGGAATATAGAGGAAAGGGAGAAGAGGCGGATATTCCCTGGGGAATATCCCTCCAGATAGACAGATAGACAGAGATAGAGAGAGAGAGATGTAGATGATTCATGATTGTTGTGTGGTTTGCGAGGGCCTTTCCAAGGAGGATAAGCATAGCCAAAAGCCGGGCGACTCTCATATGGCTGTAAAGTTATTGAGAAGAAGGGGGGAAGGAGGGGGAACATGTGTTCATGCTCACTCTCCAGCCTCTCCTCCTCCTCTCATCAATCTCCATTCAATGGATGATCACCGGAAACAACAAGCTGACAGCCAGATCGCATAATGACAAAGGGATAAAATTACCAGGAATTTAAATAAAAATTTTGAAACCGGATTTCTGTAAAATTTTGATAAAAAACGCGAAAAATGCGTACTTTTGGCCAAAAATTCGAAAACCAGGCTCGAAGAAGTCAGTAAAGCGAGAGAGACAGAGAGAGAGAGAGAGAGAGAGAGAGAGAGAGAGAGCGAGCGAGAGAGAGAGAAGATGCGTATATGGGTTATTAAGGATCTCTCCCCTTGACCTTTCGAGTATCCGGGGGGGAAGAATAATCAGAGAGGCTGACCTCCTCCTGCTCCTCCCCTCTCTACCCCCAAAAGATCTCTTAATAGAAAGAGGCAAGAAAGAAGGAAGGATTGACTTGATTCGGAAGGACGGAAGGCCATTATGACGGCACTCTAGTACTATCCACCCATCTACCAAATAGGGGCTATCCGACTATATATAAAAAAATAGTGTTTGTGTGTTTGTGTGTGTGTGTGTGCCACTTTGCATCCACTTCC